AGCCTGGAAAGCAAATCCTTACACAAAAGCTTACATCCCATTAGCATCACTACAGTCTTTACAATTGATGATCCTCACATCCTTAATCTCAAGTCTCACCAAGGCTCCAGTTTCATTCTCAAATTAAATGGGCTCATCCCATTTGTGACCATGGTTTTTTAAGTTAAAGTTGGTACTTTAATTATTTTATTACTCATCTCTTTACAATAGATAGGCTACATATACACAAAAAAAAATACACAAAAAGAAGAGAAAACTCAAAAATAGTCCTTTCCATTGAATGAAGTGAAGAACATCGTGGGATGCAAAATCAAAAAGGCCAGAGAGGAATTAAAAGGACACTCACTTCTTGGCATGCAAGATCAAGATTGAAGCTAAAAGGGAAAAAATCAAAGTCAAAATTCAAACCTAATGATCAACTAAGAAGATTAAGAAGAGAGAGTTGAGAAAAAGATAAATGATGTCGGTATGACACAATCAAGACAATGGAAATAATAGGGGAGAAAGGAGTGAACAAACTCACTTCATCATTGGGTTCCAAAATCAAGATTGAATAACTCACTCTGATCAAGATCCAAAAATTGAATCCTGAATGAATCAAACCAAGAGGGTAATGATGAAAAGTGGCTGAGATCAAAATTCATTTGATGGATATAAATGGGATTGAGAGATAGTAGAGTTGATGGGAATCTGGAGACAATGGATGCAAGAAAAGGTCAGAATCAATGGAGACAGTAAAGGAGACTTACTTTGATGTGATTTGAGAAAGGAGGGGAATCAGTTGGAGATGGGATGCTGAGTGCAATCAGAGTAAAACTTAAGTAAATTGGTTGGGGCAAATGGAAGAGGAGGTGGCAAGTATAAAAGGAGCAGGGTTTGGCAAAATTGAAGGGGATTTTCATCTCATCAGATTGATTTGATTTGATCATGGTGTTTTCTTTTTGTGTGTGATTGTGTCTAAGTGAAAGTGTTCAAGATTGTCTGTGATTATGTCTGAGTATTGAATTAGTGTCTTGAAGTGTTCTGTCTTCTTTTCTTTTTGAGTAACTTATGTGTGTGGGTCTGAGATAAATAAAAAAGTCTTGAAGAGTTCTGTTTTTCTTTGAAGAAGTAGTGATTAGATCTGACAGTCTTGCTTTATCAAACTTGAGTTTGTGTTGAATAAGAGTTGAAATTGGGTCTTATCGTTGCTGAGCTGTTGTGAAGACATTGGTCTTAATGTATTTTTTATTTTTTTATTTTATTCTGTTATTGGTGTCACTGGGTGTGAAATCTCAAACTAATCAGGGCCAAACATGTGTTCTGGTTCAATCCCTTCCTTTCACCAAATTTGTTGATTTTAAAAATTCCCTCTGGAAATTCAACTGCTTCAATTTTTCAAAAGAATTATAAATTGTTATCACCGGTTCAGAAAACCCAATTTTCTGGAAAATCCCCACCACCAACAAGAACATCCCCCCCTCTCCAATTGTAAAAGTACATTGCGGACTCAAATCCAAAAGTAGTAAAAAATCAAAAATTGCATGACTCTGGCTATAGAGGTTGTGTAGACTTGTACCGTACACTGCCAGACTTTGCACATGCATCTACGGCATAAACGAAGTGTTGCGGGAAGAATTCCCAAAGATATAAAGTTGTTAGATTGCTCTAGTTCTTTTCAAACTGCAATAAAAGGTTGAGGGCAGCTTCACTGCACCTGTAGTTTCATCCACTCTCACAAGTGGTGATTCTTACCCTCTCTGGCTCAGCCTAGGCTACACTGCGGAGAAGTTCTACAATGTGACCTTAGAATAGCCCAATAATTGGTAAATAAAATCAGTAATACATAGGTGGTTTTTACAAAAGAAAAGTCAGCATCATCAATGTATTCACAATCAACTTACTCAAAATCAACTTCAACCCTTTCAGCTCAGTTGTGCACTTCACTTATTTTCTCTTTTCCCTCAGATTGGATATTATTTGATCCCTTGGAACCGTAGGTAAGCTCATCAACAGGAACAATCCCTTCTACTTGCCTTGTTGTTGGATTGATTCTATTGACTGGCTGGTCTTGAATCTGTGCTTCTACACAGTTGGGATGATTTTACTATCTCCAGCTCACATCCATTGCTATGGTATTGTGGCTTATCTGTTGGGTCTTATTTATTGGATTATTCATTGATTCTAGTCTTAGTCATTGATCATAACACTAAAGGGACAACTCAGTTTCTGGGCAAAACTGGATTAAACCCCCTAAGCTCTGATACTCTAGGCACCTAGGGCCCCCCAACCCTTGTACACTACCCCAAGCCTGAGTCCCCCAATTGTTCTAACTCTCAGCATTTGTATGTCTCTCATCTCTCCTTGCTCTTGGATGTTTGATTTGCTACCGCATATGAATTCCTACTACCCCATAGAACCTGCCAAAGGACAAG